CGGGTCCTGTTAATTTCCAGGCTGCTCTTAGAGGCATATGACTCTCTGAGAAAGGAAGTCGGGAGCCTTAATGAGGTGGGAAGACCTTAGTTCAGGCTGCTTCTCTTTTTAATGAGCATTGCTTATATTGATTTGGATAAAGTGCGTAACCTGTTTTCAGGCTCCAGGCTATGCACGTAAGCAGAGTTCAGCAGAGCTGTTCCATTTCCACTGTGCATGTGCAATAAAGCTCTGGGGCATACCAGTCTTTATGCTTTGTATCAGCAGCTCAGTTTGGCATTTCCCTTATAATTGGTCATTTTAAATAGCTCGCCTCTTCCAGACCTCCACTGGCACACATCTCTTACTTCAGCAATCTTCTCTCCGGCTGGCCTTAATTTTGCAGAGCAGAATAAAAAGAGTCAAAAACACATCCAGTATTGCATTCCCCTGTCTGCTCTGATATGGCAGAGAATCGGCAGGTAACAACATACAATAGTGTAGAGCTAGTAACCATGTTCTAGAGATAAGAGAAACATCAGCCTTTATGCCTAGACGTCCTTTTTGTGTGTTTTTTACTAATGTGCAGTTATTTTAAAAATGTTGATAGTGGTTGCCTGACACATCTTACTGTTTGACCACATTTTTATAAAAACAGTTGGTTGTTTTTTTTTAGATGAAAAAATTACAGCAGGTAACTAAAACCTGTAATTTAGCAAGAGTATACCTGCCTGTCTGAGTCCATTTCTAGGACTGTGTCTTTAGTTTGGAATCAGGCTGTGAGCTGATATTTTAATATCAACTTTTTTGTAGTACACGGCTTTCCTAAAATGATGCTGTAATTAATAACAAATGATGGAAGCACTATGTACCTGGTCTGCATAAACTATGCTGAATGTTTCCTTGTTAAACATTTCAGTAAGACAACATTAAGTTTTTAAAAAGTGTCTTGTGCCCCAGTGGACGTGTTTGTGTGGTCGATACTTTGTCTTCGTGTACTGATTCACTCTCAGCTAAGATACAATTCTGTGTACTTTGTGCTTTAACCCAAATCTAATTTTAAACAGCACTTTTTTTTTAAATTGACAAACTTGATTTGTATATAAGAAATGGTGTAAAATCGATAAGTTTATAACATTTAATAAATTGGGTACTGACCATGAACCGTGAAACCATCAAGAGCTCAAGTGGTTTGTGTCAGCATCTTGAAATCTTTCTGTCCCTGTTTGTTATATTTTCCCCCTCTGAATTAACTGTAAAGTTGTAAATAGCTGATGTCTGCAGTTTTGTGGCAAGTCATATGCACACAGAAAAGACTCACTCCTGCTTCCCTGAAAACAATGGCAAAATCACTGCCAGTTTAACTGGGAGTAGAGTCAGAAGCCCTAAATTTTCCTGCTACTTATTTTCTCTTCCTATCTATATAGTTCCTCTCCAAAGCCAGAATGTTCTGTGTACAGCAACAGGAATGGGACTAGCATCCATTATTCATAGATTGTTAGGGGCTGGAAGGGACCTCGCAGATCTTCGGGTTCAGCCCCCACTCTCTAGGCAGGAAGACAACTGGGTCAAGTGACCCCAGGGAGGTAACTGTCCATTCTCCTCTTGAAAACCTCCAGGATAGGTGACTGCACCACCTCTGGAGGGAGTTTATTCCACAGTCTAAACACCCTGACTGTGAAGGAGTTTTTCCTGGTATTAAGCCTGAAGCTGCTTTCCAGTTTTATCCATTGGTCCTGGTCTTCCCCAGGGGTGCCCTAGTGAACGGTTGTTCACCGAGCTCCTGATGTGCTCCTCTGATATAGCCGTAAGCCGCTATCCAGTCCTCTCGCAACCTTCTCTTCTTTAGGCTGAAGAGGCCCAGGTCCCTCAGTCTTTCCTCGTATGGCTTGCCTTGCAAGTCCCTGGTCATACGGGCAGCTCTTTTCTGGACACACTCAAGTTTTTCCACGTCCTTATTGAAGTACGGCATCCAGAACTGGACACAGTATTCCAGCTACAGTCTCACCAGTGCTGAGTACAGTGAGAGTATCACTTCCTTCGTTTTACACGAGATGCATTGGTTGATGCATGCCAGCTTGTTGTTTGCCCTGCTGGCCACCACATCACGCTGACGACTCATGTTCATGCAGATGGTCAGTCATTACCCGTAAGTCCCTTTCAGCCGTGGTTAGGTGCGTGAGACCCAGTGGGAATAAGAAACGAGAACAGATTTGAAAATGTGACTGTACTGTAGGTCTATGTTCCCAGATGTGAAAGCGGGGCTAGAGGATATTTGGCTTGATGGCTCAACAGGTTGTGTGCAGAACCGTTAGCCATACGATTAGGATTTAGTGACACCACCACTTCTCACCTGCAGGACCAGCACAGACCTCAGAAAGTTCTACCCAGCTCTAGGAGCTGATTTTTCCATGTTTCCACCAGAACTGTGGACTGGCCAGCTGTACAAATGCTACATGCATCCTGGATATTGGCAGCTCAGCTATCGGCAGTGTGCTGTGTCAGGCTTCTGCCCATGCTGTGCTTGCAACAATTGCGACAACATCGTTCTGGATACAGATCTCATCAATCATTCATGTAGTCAGGAAAGAGAAGCCTAGCTCCTTGGAACAATAAGAAATCAATATTAAACTCAGCAGATTAAAGCCTGGACAGTTAAGGAATAGAAAAATTACATTAACCAAGTTAGTGAGTCTGAATTTATGAGGCTAAACTTGTGTCCTGAACATGCTTTGAGATTGCAGAAGTGATATGCCCAGTCATGCCACTTGAGGGAGAGCCTTGTTAGGCATTGCACTAAAAGGATGTACAAATATGTGTTTTCTGTGTTTTGGCACGCGTTGTAGTATCTGCCAATTGAATAGGCTAAGCTAACCCACTTGACTCTATTGGTGGCATCTCTGGCTGATGGGTGAAGGTGCACTGACTGCATAATAAAGAATGAACTTGCCCTGGCATCATTTCCAGGCCTCTTGTGGGCAGAGGAACTGCTGACCTGTGAAATCCAATCTTACCAGGTAAGTAAAGTAGGCAATGGCTTTTAATTTAAAATCATCCCATGTCCTGTTAACAACACACTGAGGTATTCTTTTCATTTAGTGCATGACTTTGCTTTGTTGGGGGTTTTGAGCAATCTGAGCAGCGTTTTTAATGTTTCTTTTATTCATGACAAGGCATGGCAGGTCTGTGCTGTGTAGACCAACCCTCCTCTTTGAAACTTAGGTGTTGGGTCAACGGCTGTTCACTAAGGGCGGTGGAAGCAGGCACCTTCATCCACTGCGAATGCAATAATTTTATTTTCATGTGCATTAGAAAAGGCAGCTCTCAGCATCCCTCTGGGGACCTGGAGGATTTACCCCTATTTTTCAATGTATTAATTACCCATTGTTAATTAAGGATTGTGCCTTTGGGCATGGTGCCTAAACCAGAAGGGATTATAGTACAGACATCTTATGCCACTTTCTTTACCAGTGATTTTTTTTTTAATTTTCAGCATGTTAAAAACTTCCATTGATCCTGGATTGACAATGCAGCCATACATAATCTTATCTCCAAGAGATCTATGTAAAAATCTGACTTTAAAAACACAGAAAGGAAAGAGAAAATTCCAGGTAGATTCTCAGCTATGCATTTTTGCTTTTTTTTCTGCAATTACAAGTATCAAATGTTTTTCCTGCTCTGCATTTAACTGTTTGAAACGTTTAAACACTACATTTGGAGAATCTGTCACTAACCTTGGGCCTTCTCAGGAATTGTTAGCTTCACCTCAGCTTATCATTAGTGTTCCCTGTAGACTGTGTCTGCCAGGAAAAACCTATAGGGAACATGGGACATGAATGGCCAATAGCAAAGGTGTAGAAAAGACCCTCCTTTTCACCTTATTTAATGCACAGTTTTTAACTCCACTGAGCTACTGGGCTGGCATCTGGGGGGCACACACTGCCTCAGAAATAAATAGCACTGTTTAGGTACACATCCAAAATGCCCAAGTCCCATGCTGGCTGTAGTATGTGCACGTCTCATCTCCATTATCCTATTACAAATCTTAAACACTGCATGACTTGGTGGATTTGTAATAGGATAATGGAGACTTTCACCTCGAGGTCACCAGTTTAAATCCAGCCCAACTGAGCTGTGATTTTAAGTTATTTGTATCTGGTGACCTGTGAGTGTCTCCCCCCCCCCCGGCTAGCACACAGATGTCCCTGCTACTAACGGCTAGCACACAGATGTCCCTGCTACTAACACCCCTTGCTTCAAATGATGTCAAGTCTCGATAAAGAGGGGAAGGAATAGGTGTGGCTGTGGAGACTGAATTGTTTCTCTTTGCTTGTCCATGTGATGAGAGAAGTATATGTATGTCTTAGTGCACTGGCATTTCCTAAACTGCTCTGCTACTAAACAAAGAACTGAAGTCCTAACACTGTCATACAGCAGCTTATTCCAGCACTTCACTCATCTGAAAACAGTAGAAGTTAAATAACAAAGCTATCTCAAGCTCTGATACAGCAGGGATGAGCTCATTAATAATACTGTTCATTAATAATACCTCCAGGGCCGGCCCACAAGTTTTGGGGGCCTGCTAAAAAAAAGTTTTGGGGCCCCCTGCCCCAAAAAAGCTAGTGGGGGGGGTGGCAAGCAGCCAAACACAGGGGGCCTCTTAGCTGCAGGGCCCACTGTGGCTGCAGGTTTTGCAGTATAGGACAGGCCAGCCCTGAATACCTCAGCAGAGAAATGCGCGCTTATTAATGGCTATTATGGGGAGGGGATAAGAGGCCATGAAGAGCTCGCTTAAAATGTTCAGAACAAGTTGTTCTAGAGATGAATTTTTTTCTTGTTGGTAAAAGTTGGGTGTTTTGCACTTGATTTCAGGTATTGTGATCTTCTCCAACTTGTTGGCTTTGCTGTTTACATTTTTATAGGGATTTGATCAGAAAGGTTAAAGGTATTTTGGATGCAGTGACATTTAGACTAGGTGATCTGATGAGTACTTCTCATCTAAGTCAAATTCAGTAGTATGTACAGACTTTAAAGAAGTTGCCAGAGGGGAAAGATGTTCTGCTTATTAAACTAAATAAGATGAGATGAACAGACTCCAAAGAAGGCGCAGAAATTCAGGAGAAAGGGTCAGGGGCTTAAAAGGGAAAAGAGAAGGAAAAAAATGCACATGTCCGTAGAAGTACACAAATCAGCAACAGTACTGTGGTAAAATCTAGCATAACTATGCAAAGTGCACAATTCTGATGGCCTGCCTTTCTCTAGCAAAGGACAGCTTTCTTCCTTTTGCTTTAAATCAGTGTTACATATTTAATCTATCTTTTTTGCTTTCTGAATGCCCCAGAGGAAGACTGTGTTGTATGTCTGGGATGGAAAAGCCTCACTTTGTTTTCTCACAAACTCAGCTGGAAAGCTGGGTAAATAACAAAATAACATATGCTTTGGAGTGCAGCATCACACAGCTGTAGGTTGCAAACTAGCTGTTAGCCTCTAGGCATAGAATATTTATCTTGCCTGCTTTCAAGCCAATTACTCAAGGCCTGTTGCACAATATATGGTAATCTTATGAGTTAACATGATACTATTCAAATCCACTGATCATTGATTCTGAAGAATAAGGACTTTGACCCAAAGGAGGGCTGGCCATTAGCTATTTAACTAGCTATGCTATTTCATCTGTAAGATTTTCCCTGGGGGGGTGTAATTTATCCTATCATGACTTATAAACAACAGTAGGCAAATCCAGTTAATTTAAATGTGACTGTTCTGTATATCATCTTAAATACCAACTAGCACATCTGAGGATACAGTTTGTACTGGGGTTAAATAATGAAAGAAAGATAATACCTGGCTGTGAGGTTCAGAAATGAAACAGGGAGGAACAGATTTATGCAAAAAAGATGTTTTTAGGTGAGATTTGAAATAGTATGGGGAAAAATATGACTGATATCCTGGCAGGGAAATGCTAGGTGTTGGGAGGGGGGTTATTCATTTATTTTAAAGAAACAGTCCTCTCTACGGACAGGACAGTAAGCATATGTGAAACAGCCACAACTCTGTCTCATTTGTTTTGCATTGTGTGTTAATTTGCATTGCAGGAAAAGATGTGGAAATGGTGAGTGAAGAGAAGGTGGTACCCTGAAAGCCTGAAAGAAAAGCAGGGAATGAAACAGCAGAGGGTTGCTTTTCATAATTGTACTGATTTCTCTTTGGAAGCCACACCATAGCTAGGTATTGAAAACCCATGATTGGGACCAGTTTCTGCCCTTTCCTGTTAGTTAAATGCTACTGACAGGTTAGTAATGGAGGTAGACTATAGCTCAGTATTTGTGTAAACAAGATAACCAAATGTCATAGTATATACGGTAGACCTGATCCCAAGCTCACTGGAGTCAATGAAAATCTGTAACTGCAGTGGGTTTTAGATCATGCACCATGACATTGGTTTATTCTCTGTTAATGCTCTTATTAGAGTTACCCAGTTTAGGACTTGAGGATTTTCCTTACTGATTTTGTTAATGGCTAACAGAAAAACCTTCCCTTGCTTGTGCTTTTTAAAAACCCCTTTGTCACATTTCATTGTTTCACTTTTATAAGACAATACCAAATCAATCCTAGTTGAAGGGGAAATATTTAAGAAACCATAAAAAAATATGAGTGGTCCTAGTTTCTGAACACATCTTCCCCACTAAGCTAAGTTCTCTTTCCAGCTATCATCTGGCATGTCAGCATAAGTCTTCAATGTTACTGCCTTATTCCAGTGCACTTGACACCTACCTGAAACTAGTTGCTCATCCACAAGCAGGCAGAGTTCTTCAGTTCTGTTTTCTAGGTCAAAATGTATTGTGCTGTTTATTTGAGTTCAGTGCTGTTTGTATACGTGATGCAGTTTCATGGGTTTTATTACTCGTTCCAATAAAGCCTTTAAAATGTTTCGCTATGATTCATTGCCATTACTTGAGTAAGCTAAGAAATTATGGTTTCAAGACCTAGGAAGGAGTGGTAAGTATTCTTTAATAAATGAGTGAGCAGCATTACATAAAAAGTTAATATATGTATAATATTATTATGTATTACAATAATACATGCTATGTATTATAATAATACATATTTCATGGTTTTCTGGTTGTGTTCTAAACAACATGGAGACAAGGATTTAAAAAAATCCTTCATCCTTTAGTAAGAGACAAGGATTTTTGTGAGAGCGCTTTTATTGGGCCAACTGTAGTCGGGAGAGATTTTTAGACAAGTTGTCAAGCACAAAGTGCCATTCCTCGGATCTCTTAGTGCCATGTAGTACATAAACCAAGAGTTTTAAGTGAAACCTTTATGAGTGAGGAAAAAAGCTATTAGCCATACGGATATGTGTTTTGTTATGATCTATGTTAACTGAACAACACATAATTATATGTGACTTTTATACTGCCTATAAATTAACTGGAAGTGTCAGTTATTTCCATTTGCACAATTTAAATATCATTTAGGCACATTAAGTCTTTATAAATTACAGTACTAGTCTTCTACCTAAGAAAGTTCATTCTGTAACCTAGACCATCATTTTACCCCGGTTTCATGTTGAAACATATTAATGTATATTCCAATCAGAAGCTATGGAAACTGGTTCTTAATGTTTTAAAGAGAGGATTTTATCCCCCCAAAATTTACAAAAACCTGTGAAACTCCTTTCCTCAGCTTTATGAACTCTGCTGCACCTTAAGCCTCTTAATTTTGTAGTCGTTCTGTCAAACTCTAATAGGAAGCCCCCGTTATCAAGAAGAGTCTCATAAAAAAAACCCACAACAGAATCCCAAATTAGTGTCAGAAAACTGACAAGGTTACTGCTCTGAAGCACTGCTGTTAATCTAGCACTGCTTTTTCTATGGCATGAGTCATTTTACAGCTTTGCAGTGCATTTGTCTTTTTTCAGAGCAGATCAGCTCAGGTTTCGGTTCTATTTAAACAACGGTTTCTTGCTCTAGGCAGGTGTTCCTGTCACAGATGCCACCATCACAGCTGGCACTAACTGGCCCTCAGATGGCCATCTTAGAGACCCGGTCTCAACAGGCTGAAGAGTTGCTCTGATTCCTCCCATAAATAGCACGTGAGGGTCATTTCTGAAGTATGCAACAGGGGAGCAAGGCTAGGGAAAGTATACCTGCCAGCCGTTGGTGCTGTGCTGTGAGGTCTTGCTCTCCATCTGCTTAACTAACATTGCATTCATCTATATTCAAAGGCATTGTAAGGGGAAAAGGCCACTCTTCTAGATTTTTTTAAATTATTTTTTATTCATGCACCAGCTCAGAAGCAATAGGTTACACTTACTAGTCTCACTGCAGGTTTGACATCAGCTAATTTACCTGTTTTATTCTATGTTCACAGCCATTCATTTCCACTCTGCTGTGCTATCATTGAGTCTAGGCTCACTGGCAACAAGGTCACCTGAAGCTGGATATTGTAATAAAAGATTCCCGTTGCAACTTAATGAGACTTTAATGACATGTAAAAGAAGCCTGTATTCATACTGATGAGCTTTGTATGGCAGGTGAAAGCAGTGGTATATTGCTAAGCAGTTATCCTAAGGACATAGCAATGCTATTGCTTGCTTGTTTTTAACCAGGCAGTTGACACTGAACTGAAGGAGAGGTTTCAGACTGCAGTCATGCTGGTTGAAAACCTACTGACAGTAGGATGGCCCACTGCTGTTGTAACTGGGGTGAAAGTTGAGTCTGTCGTAAAAGGTGATGAAGTTATCCGGCCCCGTGACATCACTTTTCTCCATGGCGGTGTTGAGACCATTACTCCTGTACATGCCACACTGTCCCAGGTTTTTTGAAAATTCATGTGAGCAGACATAAAAGGAGGTCTGTGATGGAGGGGAGGGGGAAGGCAAAATGAGATGTTAAATCGGTGGGAGGTAACATTTTTGGCATGCATGCCACAAATTAAGCCCCACACCCTTCCCAAATACCACTCCAAATCCCTTTCCTGGGCCCAATCTGTTGCTTTTTCAGCTCCCTGCCCTGTGCTCCCTGCTCGATCTGCTGCTCTGCTTTCTGCTCCACATCCTATCTGCCACCATGTTGTCTGTTCCTTCCCTGATCTGGATGCCACACAGAGGCTACCTGTGCCACGTGTGCTGGTTGCCACCCTTGTGTTAGATGCACATGTGAATGGTGCTCTATAGTAGCTAGGACTCTTGGTTGTTACAGCTCAGGAACCAACGCCCTACAGAAGCCCACAGCAAAGGCCTGGAGACTTTCCTCCCTGAACTGGCATTGCTATCCATGCGTAATTATGTGCGTGTGACTAAGCTGGTATTGATTAAAGACATTTAAGAGTAGAAAGAGGCTTTTTATTCTCTGTTGCCTGCAAGTATCTCTCTCCGTTCGGAGTAACGTGCTTAAGGGCAAGGATATGGTGTCCTATGAAAAGTAGTACCTCTACCCTAGTGTGCTTCAGAAGTACTCAATCACTGTGTCCACTCGCTTTTGAGTGAATAACTTATCTTTTCTTTCTAATCCTCCTGCACTACAAAGCCTGCTGCTTGGAGATACTGAGGTTTCTGGGTGCAGTTTTGCCAGAGCCCCCAAGTGACTTAAGCAATTTTCAATGCTTATGCTCCTACACCAAAAACTCCACCATCTGCAACATTTGGCACTAGTCATTATTGTCTCCCTTCCTTTGTAAGTGGCTGGAGTGATGGCAGGACACAAATCTGAAATGCAATTGAAAACGCAGTCTACTGGGGTTTACAAAGCAGACCTAAGATTGAGCTGCTGTTGGATATTACACCAGCTTAACACAAGACACAGTGATAAATTACAGCTCTTACGTTTCCCTCTGTTCTGTTTCTTTTTGTGACTTTTCCAGCCTTATTTTCTAGCTGCCTGAATGGACACCCACATAGACATGCCTTCCTCCTACCCTAATTGCTTATGCCACTTGCAGGAGATATGTGGGCACAGGAGAGTTAGTAAACACCCCGTGCCTGGAGAAGAATACAGGCATTTTAAGATACTGCTTGGGATACAGGTTCCTGTTAGGAGGGTGGTGTTCATGTTAGCTTTCTGCACACACTTACTGGCATTTCATGTACGGTAGGTGCTCTGCTTCCATACGTCTGGTTGGTGGTTCTGTACAGTGGATTGGGCTCCTTTGTCCTAAAGAACAAAATGTAAGTTTACTCAGTCCGGTTTCTTCATGCAAACTGCATTCTCTACAGGGCTAAACAGCACGGAGAGCCCTTACAGCAAAAGACGGACGTGGAGACAGTCGAGCAAGGGGGAGAAGGTGGTTTTGGATGAGATTAGGGATGTGTATATGGTTAGAAAGCCTGCACAGCAGTCAGGCCTGTCACCATCAGGAATGTGTCTTGTGTTAAATTGACAGGAGCTCAGGGAGGAGACAGGTGCTATCAGGGCAGAAACGATACCCAAATCTGGAAATATTTGTAAGAAAAAGGACCGTTCTGGACTCCGCAAAGCTGGGGCTTGAAGACGGAACAAAGGCACACTTGGGGCCTCTTGTCTTGAAGGCTGAACCGGCTGTCGGAAAGGGTTGCAACTGCAACAGCCCTGCAGCACAAGCTGGGCTTAAAATGGGTGTGGTTTGCTGAGGTCTGCAGCTGATCTCTGGGCATGCCCCCAACCCCTCTCCCTTTTGGCACCGTCTCTGCTTGCTCAATGCCTGTGTTGCAACGGCTGCCTCACCTGTAGCCCCGAAACCATCCTGGGTGGTTGAACCTGGCTGGCAAACTGTCATCCACTCGGTAATAATCGCTGGTTTTCTGCAACGGGCCCTGCTCCATCTCCTTCTTACAGGCGGGCTCTGCTTCCAGCAGACGCCCCTGGGACATGTTGTGCCGAGGCCTAAACGCGGATCAGGCTGGACAAAGAAGCGGGGAAGTGGCGGGTACTACAGCAGCTCCCGGTCCTTTTGTCACCTGTTGCTGGGAGACGGGCTGTCCCTTGGCAACAAAAGTGGCAACGCTTCTTAAAGGAACACTGCTCTTCCCCTCCACAAAACCGGAGTTAGGGTCTGAGCAAGATGCTGGCTAGGTCCAGCAGTTGTAGGAGATGGCTGTTACAAGCGCCTGCTGTGGATCGGGAGTCGACTGCCCAGTTGGTTCTTCCCCCCACCCCTTCCACCAGTGTTGCTTCGTTCCCATGTTTCCTTTTTATTCAAATGTCTGGAAGAAGGCAGCGGGGTCCTTCGTTCATCGTAAGCAGCCCCTCGACTCAAGGACGCTCACGGACAGGCCTCGAACGGTCCGATCCTCAAGCCACAAATCCCGGGACGAGCAGGTCGCAGGGATTCCTCTCCTGGTCCTCTCTCCCTTCTCCGCTTCGAGACACTTCACCTCCAAACCGGCTGCCGCACGTACTCTCGACACCGCCATCCGCGGCCTTCAGCATGTCCCTGTAACATTTCCTCCACCGCATCCCAGAGCGCGTGTTTTGGGACCCAAGATGCTCGAGGCCCACTGACTCCAGGCATCAGGGAGGATGCTGGCATTTGCACCCCTGGGAAGCGGGGCAGTGCCACTGCACCCTGCAGGCCCCTCTGGTTTTTCCCCCCCTGCTCCCTTGGAGGGCCCGCTGTTGCATCCAGGGGTCGGGGGCCTGCAGCGCCGTGCACACGGCAGCCAACGCGTTGCCTTCCCCGCCGCCGGGCGGCTGCAATGGTTCCTCCGCAGCGGCAGGCGGCGCTGTGCCGAGCCCGGGCGGGAGGAAGCGGAAAGCAGCGCTGCGGAGCCCGGCCCTTCCCCCGGGCTGCAGCATGGCTGGGCCGCAGCTGTTGCGCGCCGGTGAGCAACCCCCCGCGGGCCGGTCCCCTCCCGGGGGCAGCCCGATGTGCCCTGGGGCTGGCTGGGCCTGCAGCCTGGGCTCCCCATGCACCCAGCCCCTGTGCTCAGGGACCAGAGCTGGGGGAGAGCCCCTGGCCCAGCTGCTGTGGCTCCTGGGGGTGCCCGGCAAAGCGGGGCTGCAAGGGCTTGTTTCTAGGGCATTCATGCTATGGGGGCAGGTGTCAGCTGTAAGTATCTGGGCACTGTGTGTCCTGTGCACCTACAACAGGGAGCAAGGCTTTGACTAGACGCGGAGCTCCTGGAGATGAAGGATGTCTGGGCGGGGCTCAGGCAGGGGGTTGGATGAGATGTCCTCTCCGGCCCCGCTTTGCATAATCCTCCTAATACAGGGCTGCTTAGCTGCATTAGTGCCCAGTACCCGAGCTAGCCCTGCATTGCAAGATGGATACACCCACTCTCTGCACCGGTTTCCTCACCTTTGAAGTGGGGTGAGCAGCAAGCCGTCTCACAAGAGTTAGGGGTGTTTTTACAAAGCATTGCCCACCTGCGGTAAGAGGGGTTGCAAACCGCAATGCGTTTATGATCGTACTGGCTCTGTAAACCTTTTGTTTGATTTCCGCCTCCCCTCTCTTTGCAGTTGTACCAAGGCTTAGCTGCATTAGCTTGCTGGGAACAGTTTCTCCCGGAGCCAGCCCGCTCAGCACTCAACTTCCTGGAACTGTTCCTGTCCCGGCAAGGACGCAGCAGGTGGACCCCAGTGGTAAGGCTCTCTTCTCACCTGCTGGAGAAAGCCAGAGCCTGATACGGATCCGGCCTGAAAGGAGCAGAACGAATTGAAGTATTCCTCGGTGATACCTGCTAGAGTTGCTCTGATCTAGAAGGGAAAGCACAGCTAAGTGAATGGGCATCGCTTCTTAGACCTGCTTTTCTGCTTTTGCTCTCAGATACTTGTGCATGTGTTTTTGAATGCATGAGATGATCTCCTAACTTAGCTCTTAGTGTGCTGAGAGAGACTCCGTGGGTGAGGTTTGAGATGGGGAGTCAGGACTCCCGGGTTGTGTGTGCAGTGCATCTCACACCTTGGGCTTTTTCCCATGAACGTGATGATGACCCCCATGCAAATACTTCTTGAGTTATACTTTGTAGAATGGTAAAAGGAAGGGGACATTTGTGGGGGTGGATCTAATTGTCCTATACAAGCACTGATATGCTGCTGTTCCTGGCAGCATTATATGACCACCTTTTTCTCACGCCATGAGTGACCTTGGTGTTTTACAAGATAAGAGTAAAGATGAAACTCTATTTCCTCTTCTTCCAGTTATTGAGAAGCTGATAAATGAACCCCTCAAGCACCCAGACTATTTCAATGTGAAAGAGCTCTTCTCCCTGAAAGATCTCTTTGAGGCCAGAGTGCATTTGGGGCACAAGAAAGGGTGTCGTCACAGGTACGTTTCATCACTTTGTCCAGGAGATTTTGGACAGTGCTGGGTAATGTCAGCTTCAGTAGTCCTTGGAAGACCTCATTGGTCTCACAGTGTTTTGGATCGGGTTTATAGAGAAATGGGTACAACTATTTGGCTTTTCAGGTGCTCGCGGAAAGACTCTAAACTAATTGTTGTTAAAAAAAAAAAAAAAAGTACAAGGATGGTCATGTTGTTTGTGTGGAGACATAGGTAGCCGTGTTAGTCTGAAGTCGAGCAGAAGGCAGGCACGGAGCTATAAACTGCTCTGTGCACATCCTTTCACATCTTCTGATGAAGTGAGCTCCAACTCATGAAAGCTTATGCTATACATATATCTCTAATGTAGTTAGCATAAGGCAGGGAAGATGTGCACCGTACAGACTATTTGGTGCCATGGAAGTGTACAGGGTTCAAAGCAACTTGCAAAGACTGACAGATGCCGGATGGTTTCTACAGAGCAAAGGTTCCCAAGCACTGGGCCGTGGCTGAGTACCAGGCTGCAGCAGCTTGTCTGCCAAGTTGTAGCACGAGCCCCCTGCTCAGACCCCGTCTGTCCACTCAGGCAAGCGGCTTCTGGGGTTAAAGCTGAGCTTCCAGAGTTAAAGCTGCGTGGTGGGACAGGCCAGCTGGCTCCACAGGCCTCATTCTGCTCCCGTGGGGCCGCGGTATAAAAAAAGTTAGGAACCACTACTATAGAGGAGCTGGGATGTTTGATGATATCAGTCCAAGGATAGTAAAGGTCCAGATTCTTGGTATCCCATGTTCTCCCCTCGCTCCTAGGTTTATGGAGCCATATATCTATGGCTGCCGTCTTCAGCAGGACATTATTGACTTGGATCAGACCATGGACCACCTCCAGCTGGCACTCAACTTCACAGCCCACATTGCCTACCGCAACGGGATCATTCTCTTTGTCTGCCGCAACCGCCAGTTTGGACACATGGTGGAGCTCATGGCCAAGGACTGCGGGGAGTATGCCCACACCCGCTACTGGCGGGGTGGTCTGCTGACCAACAGCCACGTTGTGTATGGAAGCGACGTCCGTCTGCCTGACCTCCTTATCTTCCTCAGCACTCTAAACAATGTCTTCGAGTCCCACGTGGCTATTCGGGACGCTGCCAAGATGAATATCCCAACCGTGGGGGTGGTGGATACGAACTGCAACCCTTCCCTTATCACGTACCCTATCCCAGGGAATGATGACAGCCCATCAGCTATGGAGCTCTACTGCAAGCTCTTCAAGATGACCATCATCCGGGGAAAGGACAGGAGGAAGCAGATGGAGGCTTTGTATAAACTGCAAAACCAAGCAAGCAGCAATTAGACCCATCTTGGGTGCTTAATGGCCTACTTGCAAATCCATGAGCTCACCCATGCACTCGTAAGCAGCAGGTTGTTGCCTCTGCTCATTCCCTGTGCCAGCAGTGCGTATAAGACAAATTGTTGTGAACAGTGAGATTATTAGCATAAATTTCAATGAGAGATTGACTGTACCCTAAGAGAACCCCCTGGCCTGCTCCTTAGAGAGAGATCCAGTGTAGGGGGCAGTCCCTGCTCTGAAAAGTTGCCTATGAGTATGCTTGGCTGTCGTCTTCTCCCCTTGCTGCCCTGCAAATAAAGCTCACTCACACTGATTACAACTGGTCCGGGCTTGGTTACGTAGGGTGTATCCACTTTTGTTCACTTCTGTCTGTTCCTTATTCAAGCAGAAATGTATAAAGTATGTTTTGTTGTGATTCTTTCTTTCTAAACATACTGTAATCTGAATTGGGAAAACTATATTGTTTTCAACCTGCCCCAACTCTCGTTGAACAAAATAAAATATTCTATTTTTTCCCCCACAACTTGCAAGTGTTTTCTTAAATGAAACATGAGAAATCCTGTAGAAAGCTACAAATGAACGACAGGTTACGGGTTTAAGGTGGGGAATGTAATCCCCCTCTGGTTTATGCCAAAGAGATCTCCTCAAATAATTCTTGTAAAAACTCTGTTTTTATGGGATCACTGGTGATGCGAAATGGAGAGGTTTGTTGGGGGGGGCATGGTTTAAGTCAGTTGCAGCTTCTACACTTCCCTGTGTAGAAGCTGAAACTGACTTTAAAAAAACCCCAAACCTGTAGAGACCTTCAGGTCAAGTTTTGTGGTTTAAAAATCCCACTTTAATATACTCTCCCTTAATGTTTTGTTATTTCTGTTTCCCATTGCAGAGAGACCTACACCAGCCCCAGAAAAGACTGGCTTTTCAGGGGAAATAATGAACCTGTTAGGTAGCATTCATATATAGTCAGACATGAAGGTAACTAATGGGATCTTTTTCCCTTGTCTGTCCCTGATGCACTAATTGCAGGAGTGGTGTTTAACAACTGGAACTAAAGCCATTATTTTGGCTAAAGTGAAATTGGGGGGTTATGGTTCAGCGCTTCCTTTTATTAGTGTCTCTTATTTTAGAATAACTCTGTTGCTGTATCTAGGGGAAAAAGCAGGCACAAAAGAATGACAAAGGTCCCCCCTCAATGGTGCTGCTATGATTGTTTTAGGGCTTTAGCTTAATCTGGATTTCCCAAGGGATGGTTCTCATTAGTCCACACTTCAAAACAGAGCCTTTGTTACAAAGAGGCTCATTCCCAAGCTAACTACACAGAATGTCAGTTCTTTAATGCAAGTGATGAGACTCTGAAGTGTCAAAGCACAACTTAAACAAAGGGTCCCTGGGCCCTAGTGCTTTTCAAGGCAGGGTTTGCTCTCCTTATTAACTACTGCTGCTGGTATAAGCCTGTCAGTTTGCTTCTTGAGCCTGGAAACTCTGCATGCTTCATACCAGACTTGCTTCCTAGTCTCCTCCCCTGGAGCTGTTTTGCAGGTGCATGCTGATAACTTCCACATATGAAATCCCTCTCTCCTTCATAGGGAGGAATGTCATAATTTTCTGCTTTTCCACCATGATGCCAACCTCAAGACTTCTTTTGCTCTCCTCTTCATCCCTTTACAGGTTCTTCTTGGGAGGGTGTGATTTCCCCCCCCCCCCAGCTCCAGCCCCTGGGAGAGGTGAGAAACCCACCCATCCATTTATTCTTTAAGGAAAACATCCATCTTGCACTCTAGAAGCAAGCATGGAGTCACCAGCATGGAGAAGAGACAGAACTGCACAAGTGTTATTTTTAAGTTAAAAAGGTGCTGCTTTGGGTAAATCCGATATCTTTTATTAGACTAACTACAACTGTTGGCAGAATTCTTCCTGGCAAGCTTTCGGGTACAAACACCCTTCCAGCAGAGGGAGCATCTGCAGTTTTGTACTCTTAAAAAGGACATTTTTAAATAGATGTTTTTTGAGCCAGACTCACTGCTGAAATGCAAGGGGGTCACCACGGGGGCCCCCATCTTCCACCCCTCCTCTCTCCACTCTTCCAACTTCCTCCATGCACTATTCCCACCCGCTTTAGGCACCCCTTGCCAACTCTTCGGCTTCGCTCATGTTTTGACTACAAAAGCAAGAAGGGGGCAATTTTTTTTTCATGCTGCAAAGAACTCGGAGCATATCCATGCAGGAGGTTTTTAGCCCATAGGGTTCCTGCTTGAAATCTCGGGGCTCACTTTGTGACCCCGGCTGGCACACTGAACGGTGCTAGCATGGCATGGCACCCTTGAGAGGATCTCAAGCCAGGCATTGTGCTGACCGCGGAGAGGATGGAGGTGGGTTTTTATTCCGGTCCGGAGCAAGGGCCTCAAGCTGCAGCAAGAGAAGCTTAGATGGGAGATGAGCTCTGGTAGGAGGAGACGCCACAGCATGTCCACCCTTGGAAGTTTTCAGGGGCAGGTCAGAAGACGCTTGGTTTGATCAGGAATTGCCTAGGGACCCCCCACACCAGGCAGCCCTGCTTTCCTGGGACCTCCTCCCTGCCGGTGGCACTGCTGCACTTCGCCCTCCCCTCTTGCAGGGGGCGCGCGCGTGCCACCACGACGCTCTGCTTCGCGAAGGGAAAGGCAGGTGGGGGGGGGGAGAGCCCTTTTGTCCCTCGTGGGCTCCCGTCGGGCCACCTATATAAGTGGGCGGCGGACGGGCGCGCGGCCTTTCTCTGCGGCGCGGGCGGTAGGTTGCGATCTTGGGTGGGGGGGAGTCGGGAGTCCGGGGTCAAACCGGGGAGTCCTCAGGATGACGCGGGCGGGAGCGCGCGTGTGTGTGTGTGTAGCGGGTGTGCATGTGTGTGCGCGCACATGTATGTGCACTGGGGGGTGTGGGTGCGTGTGCAGTGTGTGTGTGTCTGCGTGCATGTACTTGTCCATATGTGTGTGTACAGGCAGTCCTCAGACTCACGACACAATCGGTTCCCGAAAACAGCATCTGAAGTCGAAACGTTGTAACTGGGCCCCAACGTTCCTGTGCGAGCAATGTTAACCATGAGGGGTCGGTTCCTGAACCAAGGCCCGAGACCCTATTTTCACCAAAAATGACACAGAATGTTGTAGTTGATCAATTATAGATGAGTAATGTAGCTACATCAATGTATTCATGTTGGGAATAGTGATCATATTGACTTGGGTGGAAGGACTTTTTGAAGGGTTTTTGGCTGGTGTCTTCTCCGGGAGTCCTGGCTGCAGGATTTTCGGGAGTCTCGCTGGCTTCCTTGGATGCTTTCTTTGAGAAACTTTGGGCAGACGCCCTCCAGAAACATGGGCAGCGCAGTTTGCAGATTTGTTTGCTGGCAAGGCATTGTATCAGATCCAGCATCCCAGAGTCAAAACTGGGAGTTGATTTATAGATGTCTACCATGTGTCCTAAGTTTGTTGTAACTCGAAACGTCCCAAGTCAAGGACTTGCCTGTATATGTATATGCGTGCGTGTGTGTGTGTATCTGGGTTTTTGCAAAAAAAAAAAAAAAAGTTGAAATGATAGCCCACTTGCTTTCTGAACTGAGGAGAATAGGAAAGCAGCTTTGCCCTTAGTTTAGTTAGACACCTCCCTTGGACTCACTGTCACCTTTCTCTTTTCTCTTTTTTTATTATTTTTAAGCAGGCTACAAAGAATGGAGCGAAAAGCAGCCTCGTCCTGAAAATGGGAAGCTGGGTGAGTGTGAATTCAGGCCCAATAACAAAACCGCCTATGTGAGATGGTCGCGCAGCATGTTGTTTGACGTCTTGTAGGGAGCTGTTTGTTGCTAGGGGTTGCTTAAAAATATGATGCACTTCCCTAATATTATTGTTCTTGCAGTAGAAGCCCACGAGACCGTCTCTGTATTTTTTACAGTGTAAAAATGTCAAGCATTTTGGCTTAGCAGTTGGGACACAAACACCTACTTAAGAATTGGTTGTGTTCAGCTAATCTAAGCATGCAGTGGTTTGATGTTGAAATTGGCTTGTGCCGTGCCAGAGGTCAGCCTGGAAGATACCCTATAATCTATAAGTTGTAAACACAGCAGAGGCTGTCCAGGGCATTCCTTGATGGGAGGAAGGCAGAGCAAGGGCTTTATGTGCACAGCGGTGCATGAATTGTAAGCATTTAGTTGTGTAAGATGTTATTCAGTGGAGACTTTAGCATTTCAGGCTATTTATAGCTGTTGTAGCTCTTTTAGAATCACAGAAAACGAGGGTTGGCAGGGAGCTCAGGAGGTCACATCTAGTCCAACCCCCTGCTCCAAAGCAGGACCAGCCCGAATTAGATCATTCCAGCCAAGGCTTTGCCTAGGCGAGTTTTGAAAACCCCCAAGGATGGTTCTTCCACTGCCTCCCTGGGTAACCTGTTGCAGCACTTTACTACCCTTCTCGTGAGCAAATACTTCTTAATCTCCAACCTAAACTTCCCTTGCTGCAACTTGAGCCCATTG